GAGGGCACGGGCCGGGGCCTGGCACACACACAGAGGACAAACTTAAATTATGACGTGTGTGGAAAACAAAATGAAAAGAAGTCGGGACTACAAAAGCTCTTACCAGCAGCCACAGATACCAGAAGTAAGAGGAGATGGTGCTGAGCACTTGCACTATGGCTGTGAGCAGGATCACGTCCTTCAGGTGTCTAAAACCAGAATTAATCATCACTGAAAAAGAACATGTGACCACAGCAAAGGACAGAGCTCTCATCAGGCCGGCTGGACCTTTGCACACGTGCCACGGTTCAGGTGGTTTCCAGCAAATGTTTCACCTCGGGCTCCTCGAGGCGTTACAGTAAAGCCACACATTCACAGTCTCATCTTGGAGTCTCGACATGGAGTACAACCACATGAATGTCTTTTGGGGTTTTTTAAAGTACAAGCGTGTTACTGGCAACACTCCTGACCTCAGGCGCCACCTTCAGGCCTGCACACTGGACTCTTCCTATGTTTTCATCCAGAATGAGGTTCCTCACAAAAAAGTCAGGTCGGGCAGACGCAGAGGTTGATGATTTGTGATGGACAATTTAGAGGTCCATCACCACTAGAGATTCTCTACTGATGTCTGGAGAAGACGGCGTTGTACGGGACAGCAGCCAAATCTAAATCTGGTGAAGCCTTTGCTTGAAATTGAACTACTTTTATAAAGATGAAGGAGCACTTTTTAATCAGACTATAGCATCAAGTCAGTTAAAGTTGTGGGATATTGATCTGGTCAGGATGTTAATCAGTTTCAGCTGCTTTGGTCTTTATGAAATTATCAACAGGTGCACTAGAGGAGCCTCCTTTCATTTGTCGAGCAGTATATTAATCGTGTCGTTTTATTTTTTTCAAAGACAAAAATGCTGTGAGAGCTCACGCATGTTGTTAAGTGGAAAAACACGAAAACTCTGTTTAGTTTCCACAATGCACAAGTAGGACAGATATACCACCGCACTTCAACAAAAGCTGGAAATGCCTCACACACCTCACTGGACGGTGTGAGACATCTTGGAGGGACGACTTACTCTGCCATTCCCTGCTCCATGTTTAGGTCTATCCCTCCGTCCAGGAGACTTCCGTCGTCAGCAAACGCCGGCTTGGCCATGGCTGCCATGGAGCGGTAACTCCCGACGTACACCGCCAACGCGAACACGAGCAGCAACTGCCAGAGGAGGCGTAGAAGAGTTTTAAAGCCAGAAACATTCAATCCTATTTGCGGACATTCACAGTTTAAATTATGGTCTTTAAAGAAACTCACCCATGTCCAAAATGTGGACGAACTGTAGAAAACCAAGAAATTTACAGCGCCGTATATCGCCTGCAGAGGAGCACAAGAGACCTGCTATTTCAAACAAATTATGAATTACATTTTTTTAAATAAAAAATGCACCTAAATCAATATAAAAACACCCAAATCCTACAGTCAGGACTTAAACTGATATCAGATCTGAGTGTCCCAAATAGTCAAAGCCTCAGAAAATGAAGTGTGAACACGCTTTGATCCCCTAAGAATCAATTTCTCACCCTGGAGACCCTGTAAAGGCCTGAAAACATGACTGAAAACATCCAAAAACAACACAGAGCCTCTTACGTTCGCTCCGAGGATGACTCTCGTGTAGAACTTCAGAGTGGCTTCATTCTCCTCGTAGATCTGCTTCTTTCCCTTTGTGCCAACTTTACCTTTGGGCTGATGGGCAAAACACAGAGGGCAATGACAGCGTTACCATACGTATCCAAGCATTTTAATTAAGGCGGGCGCAAAAGCTTTCAGATACTTCTTTATGACTGTATGGTGTTTGGCTGGATCTATCAGCTTCTACCATAAATATCTGAAATAGAAGAACTCAACTCATCTAAAGCACCAATGTGTGTACGCCTTCAGAGTTATTAGATCTACAACTAGGTAGGGAACAATATCTTAAAATGAGCAGGTAATCTTAGCGAAGATGTCACCTCTGGACTCGAGCTTCTCTCCAGTGATGATAAAGCACCACAAGACAGTAACACAGTGGTTGTTCCACTGGCCCCACTTACATTTGGACATAAAGCATATGGACTAGGGCTGTGCGATATGACCAAAATCTCATATCCCAATATAAAACATCTATTGTCCCAATAACGATATAAATCACAAAAAATTTAATATTTTCTGTAAATTCTGTGAATCTCGGGTAGGTGAAGTGTTTCCAGCTGGGCATCGTGTACCTGGAGTCGAGTGTTTTAACCGATGCATGAAACTACACATTTTTAGACATAAGTTGTAACGGACGCCGTTTTCTTTGTGAGTATTTATTACACGGCGTGCTGCGGGGAAAAGCCTGTTCTAACGTTTGAGTCTAAGGTTTATTTTTTAGCACCTGGCGGCTCTTTTTTTGCTTCTCATCCGTCAATACTCTGCATACTTTTTCACGTGATTCTGTTTATTTTGAAAGGTCTCAACAGGATCTTGAGTTTTATTGTGAAAGGTTTATGTGGAAAATAAACAAGCGGACATGCGATGGTTTTACCGACAATAACGCATAAAAACAGGCGCTTGTCCGTCGGTAGTGTGGTTATATTAAATATAAGAGAAAGAGAGAACTTTAACAAATTAATATAGCCACTACAGTGACCATCAAAACGATGAAAAAAAATTGCCGTAAACAGTTTATTTTGTGACACCACGAAACAAACAATAGCGTAAAATGAAACATAGACGTTTTTATATCGTCATCCGATATATATCGTTATATCGAACAGCCCATATTATGGACTACACTTCATTTTCCCCAAAATTAATGTAAACACTTTAAAGCACATTTTTCAGGCTTTTCCAACCAGCCAGAGGAGCCATTCCAGCCAAATATTGCGAGTTTTCTAACATGTCTGGTTAAGAAATGGCATAAAAAAAAGAAAAACACAGTTTAATTATTCAAAAATGGCGCCTTTACTCCTCACAAAGGGGCAATAGAAAACCGTTCAGTGCCTTTGCAATCCCCAATAGTTATGATGTTGGGGCAGCATGGGTATGAGCAACTTGTTTTTTGCGGATGCCATGATGCTGACCCTATCACGATGCCGCCCTGGGCAACTGCCCATGTCGCCCATATCTAAAACCGCTACTGGTTGTACGATTTACAAATGCATGAGCATACACTCAGAACGTTAATTCACTTCTTCAGTCCATTAAATACGACGTTACTGTGATATAAAAAAACAAAACAAAATTAGGTTTAAAAAGTGCGTCCTACAGAAGGAACACAGATTAAAGCTTCCACTCACATGAAACCTTTTCATTATGTTTTCAACTGATGATATCTGACATGATGCACAATAACTAAATATCAGTGTAGGGGTACAGTATCAGTAATGAATGAAGTGTGAAGGTTTTAGCAGATAAATGTAAACGTCTTTGTCAAGATCAATTTTGTCTTCAATGTAAAATATGATTTTAATGCACATTTTTATGTGATTACATTAAACGTTTGCCTTTGCTCTTATTGTTCCCTCTGCAAAAATACAGGCCCAAATCAAAAGATGTTTAAATACCTTCTTCTTCTTCATCTGCCACCCTATCCCTAGCATCCCCCTTTATCACACTCTGTGCGTCCTCCTTCACTACATCCATGAATCTTCTCTGTGCTCCTGCTCTTTTCCTCGTGCCCGGCAGCTCCATCTTCAGCATCCTTTATTAAATATATCCTCTATACATGTCCGAACCATCTCAGCCTTGCTTCTCTAACTTTGTCTCCAAACTGCTCGACCTGTGCTGTAACTCTGATGTACTCATTTCTAATCTTGCCCATCCTGGTCACTCCCAATGAAACTCTTAGCATCTCCATCTCAGACACCTCTACCTCCTGCTATTCTTCAGCCACAGATCATCCCTGACACTCACCTCCACCTGCTCTACTCTCTTCTTCACCTCTCTCCGTTGCCTTGTACGACTGACTCCAGGTATTTAAACTCATCTACCTTCAGTATCTGTCTGATGCAGGGCAGTGCGTCAGCAAGAAGGTCCTGTGTTTACACCTTTTGGCTGGCTGGTGCCTGTCTGTATGAAACGCTTCTCCCATACTGCCGATACCAGTTCTTTTACCCTGTACAGGCAGCTTATGTAGGGGAGAGCAGTGTGTCATGATTTATGACATGAATCATCATCAATTTGCATATTCTGAACACATTTTAATGACCACGAAATCACTGCGATTTTTACTTAGTAAAATGAGTTAACACAAAAAAACACACCTTTCAGCTTTTCATGTATTTTGGGGACCTGGAGTGTAAATGTGCCTGTCTCTAAAGCACTTTGGGCAGCTTCTGTGGTATAAATGTGGCCATAAGGTGTAAATAAAATAAAACAGACATGGGACTAAAAAAGAAAAGGTTCAGACATTTTTTCATAGTGTATGTTTGAGGTATTTCTCTTTAATTTCCCCCCATAATTATGATAATAATTTAACACAGCTGAACTTAATCGGATAGAAACAAAGTATCCGCGCTAGTGTCCAAAACCAGCGTCGGTATCGACACTCCCGATACATGGATCGATCCCTTCCACCTCTACTGCATAGCAGCACGCGTGAACGGAGCCGGGGTGGGAGAGATTAAACGTGAGAAAGTGACAGAAATCAGATTCTTGTGTTGATTTTGTTTTCACGCCATCGCAGAACAAACCGCAGGCTTCTGATGCTCTCTGCAGCTGAGTCGGTGCATCAGCTGCGGTACAGCATTGAGGAAATGTGGAAGTGAATTACTCAGCTCTGCCGCATGTGTGTGTGCCTCACCGCCATTCGCTCTCCGGACCGGTGCTGCTGCTGCTCTCCTCCGCTGCCGTCTTCTTGGACATCGACCTCCGAGCCGCCGCTGCCGCTAAACCCGTCTCCCTGCAGTCCAGACTCTTGAAACACATCAGCACTCACGGCTTGTGCAGGGAATGGCAACACATCCGGCGCACGATTATGGCATCATCAGCTCCATTTCCGTCTCCTGCGTCTTTGCGTAATCGTTGTGTAGTTTGTTTCTGGTTGTGTTTTTTCAGGAGTGCGCAGCAGCTGCTCCAGTAAACTACTGCCATCTTTACCTCAGCTTACCAGTTAGTTCAGATTTTGGGCCCAGACAATGGCTGGCGACAACGAGGACACCGCCCTGAAAGAAGCCAGGAGACGCGAGCGTCAGGTAACTTTGGAGAATACTGACTCGGACATCGGCTTTTGCGGCTGGCTGCTGGTCGGCCTCTCCCTGCTCCTCGTGCTGCTCACCCTGCCCTTATCTATCTGGATGTGCATCAAGATCGTGAAGGAGTACGAGAGGGCCATTATCTTCCGCCTGGGGCGCATTTTGCGCGGTGGAGCCAAAGGACCGGGTTTGTTCTTCGTCGTGCCGTGCACCGACAGCTTCATTAACGTGGACATGCGCACCATCACTTTCGACATCCCACCTCAAGAGGTTCTGACCAAAGACTCGGTGACAGTGAGCGTTGATGGCGTGGTCTACTATCGCGTCCAGAATGCTACCCTGGCTGTGGCCAACATCACTAACGCGGATGCAGCCACGCGCCTGCTGGCCCAGACCACCCTGAGGAACGTGCTGGGCACCAAGAACCTGGCCGAGATCCTGTCCGACCGCGAGGAGATCGCGCACAGCATGCAGTCCTCACTGGATGACGCCACGGATGACTGGGGAATCAAGGTGGAGAGGGTGGAGATCAAAGATGTGAAGCTGCCCCTCCAGCTCCAGAGAGCCATGGCGGCTGAGGCAGAGGCGAGTCGCGAGGCCAGAGCCAAGGTGATCGCCGCCGAGGGGGAGATGAACGCGTCGCGGGCGCTCAAGGAGGCCTCCCTGGTGATCGCAGAGTCTCCGTCCGCCCTGCAGCTGCGCTACCTGCAGACCCTCAACACCATCGCTGCCGAGAAGAACTCCACCATCATTTTCCCGCTGCCGCTGGAGATGATGCAGGGCCTCATCAAACACTGAGGAGGCTAAAATCCACACACTAACACAACACGCATCACCTGACATATGACACAGTCCCTCCCTCTGTTAGGCATTCCTCTGTAACCATCAGGTAACCGAGTGGGCTTATTTTCAAGGTTTCCTATTAATAAGCAACGAATTAGTAATTATTAGTGTGGCACAGCTGATAGAAAGTTGTTATATATAACACTGCTGGGGTGGGTTTTATTGTGAATTTCCACTTGTGGTGTTTTGCAGTGAACCATAGCAAACACACCTACAGCAGCTTGATTTACTGCTCTAGAAACCTTGAGGCAAAGCCTAAGCCAAACCCCTTTTTTTACATAGCAGGGATTGAAACCCATAATTAATTATATTAGGGCATTTTACAATAGATTAAAAAAAATAAACTGGGATGAACACAAATAGAGTCATTATATTAAAAAAAAAAAAGCAGTCATAAATGACTCCAGTCTGTCATTTACATAGCTCTGTGGCTGTGGAATTAAACCACTAGTGCTAAGATGATGCTTGGTGAGTTGCTCCCTGTGGTTTATAATACACTGAATTGAGACGGCGGCATTTTTATTTCCTTGTTTCATCTGAACCCAGCCTGCTGTGTTTAACCAGCAGCAGCACTCGCACATAGATCAGGAAATAATAACTATATTTTCTTTTAGCAAAGCAAGTTTGCTCACTTCACTTTGCTGTTTAGCTGACCAGCCTCAGCTCTCCATCAGCTCTTGTCCATTCAGCACGCTCGCTCAGTCAGTCCAGAGCCAGAGGTGCCAGACGCCCAGCAAAATCTCCAGCGGCTGGCTCGGCGCGCCTGCCAATAGCTGACCGCTGACTGAATTCGTAAATTGTGTATGAGCCTTAAACCAAATCAGCGAGAGTGCAGTTTAACTCTTATCTTGTTACATTTTTGTTACAAATGTAGAAATTGTGAGTTTAAGTGCCTGATAGATATGTGGTCTACAGCTGCACACACACACACACATACACACACAAACACACACACACCCTGGTCTATATATTTCTCAGCACTGCTACAGCTGCCAGCATCTCAGTGCTGCAGTTATTTAAAGTAAAGTCAGTATTCTGACTGTACTGCCTGTTACTATTGCCAAAACCTTACTGAATGTGTTTTAGACTAATTTTAAGTGTAAAACTCAGACTAACCTTAGACCTGACATCATCGTTGTTACCTTTACCTTTAGTCTCTCCCGCTCGTTGTATGTGATTGTGAGGATGAAGGACAAAAAGCTGACATGTTTGTGTGAAATGTTGAATTTGGGCTTCAAACCTTGAATGCTGTGAATATTGTTAATGTAATGTATTCCTGCCGATGTTGAACTTTGCTCCACTGACCACGAAGAAGCAGGGAGTCGTGTTAGAATAAGCTGGTCAGAAAGCGAGGATCAGTCAGAGTTACCAAGTAATTATACAGAAACATACACACACACCTTTTCTCTAGTTGCCACTATACTACTACATTATAAGCTGAAACAAGTCAATGGTTGCTGAACTTGTGTGTTTACTCTAAACTCTCTAATGAAGATGGAACTGCTACACCTCAGTACTTGGCTGTCAGTTGTTTCTTTTATTTTTTTCATCCCGTCAACCTGTGTGGCTTCATTGTCTGCTTAGGTGAAGCAGAGGCTGTAAATCTTACAACCAAAGGCCTTAATGTACTGACATGTATTCATTTTACAGTCCAGTATCACTCTATGCACTTCTATACAAAATTATCTAAAAAAGTTACTTTACCTATTTTATTTTTTTTAACGATATTTTATCACTTGCGCTCTTTGTGGGTGTAACAAAAGCCAAATACTAGCCTTTGTAATAATCTGTATTAATCTGTAGTATATCTGCAGTTTGCATGTGTTTCCCTCTTTTTAGCATTTCAAGAACAGAGTTTCTAAATGTAGCTTGCATTGTTTAGTCTGTCTGTGACCAAGCAGTGTTTTATATATAGAGCCCTGTGAAGTTTATTATAGTTTTGCCTCACGAAGGGCTCGGTTTTGTGGGACAAACAGGTTTAAGTTACCTGTCGCTGCAGGAAACAAAGGCTGTGACATTATACTACAGTAACTTTTAGCTCTTTTTTTGCTGTTACAGTGAAAGAGGAGTATCAGATGCTGTGGAGCTTATGTTAAGTCAAAACATGTGTGTATTGTTGGTGTTTGCTTTGCTGTTGTTGGTAGCTAACATAATTTTTGGTAGTTCATTGACGAATGTATATGATTTTGTCTTGAGATATGTATATGACAGATAAAGGTGACAAATAAAGATCTGACTGAAAAGCAAGTCTCATTATTTGGCAGCTGTCTTCAAACACAGTAGGTTACTAAACTGGACAACTTATGAACAACTGTATAAATTAGCTTTAATTTAAATGATCGTCGGGACAAAAAAACTTTTTTTGATTGTTTTTTTTTTAAATTAAAAAAACATCAATTCAATTCAATTAAATTTCTTTATTGTCCCACAAGGGGAAATTAGTTTAGCACCAGGATATAAATAAACAGAACAATACTATAAAATAATATTGACAATAATAGTGATAGAAAGTCCAAGTCACATTCTCTCACCAGCCACTTTAGTAGATACATTTCAGCAGCACTGGGTTGGACCCTCTTACTTTCAGAGCCTCTTTAATTCTTCATGGCACAGATTCCACAAGGTGCTGATTTCTCTGAGATTTTGGTTCATGTTGATGTGATAGTGTCACACAGATTGGTTCATCCATTGCAGCAGAAATAGAGACTCCTGAGATCAGACTCGTTTCCACTCTCCTGTTGTTCAGTTAGTGAGTCCATATGAATTACAGCCTTGGTTTCCTGTGGCACTCGGTGCGGTCTTCTGCTGCTGTAGCACATCTGCTTCAAGGTTCGACATGTTGTGTGTCCACAGATGCTCTTCTGCATACCTTGGCTATAACAAGTGGCTGCATTTTTGTCCTCAGAACTGCTGCTCATTGGATATTTTCTCTTTTTCAGGCCATGCTTTGTCAATCCCATTAGATCAGCAGTTTCTGAAATACTCTGTCCAGCCCCTCCAGCACCAATAGTCATGTCAGGTTCACTCACTTAAATCATCTTTTTTCAACATACTGATACTCAGTTTGAATTTCAGCAGGTTGTCTTTACCGAGTTGCTGCCCTTTGTTTAGGTGATTAGATATTACATTAATGAGCAGTTGAACAGATATTATACCAATTAAGTGGCAAGTGAGTGTCAAATTAGCTAAAAAAAAAAAAACAGCTACAAAAACAACAACCCCAAAACAAAACAAAAAACACAATTTTAATAGTTGGATGAACTTTCCCCAAAATGTTTTATTTTTCTCTTTGGAAGTTATTCTTCCACCAGCCTAGCTGTTCCTGAATTCTCCAACTAATTTGGATTCTTCGAGTGCCAAACCTCCTTCCTGTAGTTGAAAGTGAGTTGCGAACCATGGACACGGGGTTCCATCTGCTGGCCATTTCTAGAAGTCGCACTAAATAAATAAATAAATGAATAAATACATTTAAAGCAGAAATGTTTAGAATAGTTTTGCTATTCAACTATTGTATTTGGTTTTTATGGGGTAAGGATATAATTTCTTTTTTAGGGTAATATGATTATTTTCTTTCTAGAATTTAATGTCATGGTTTAAAATGCCACAGTGCTGTCAGGGTCTCCTGCATGGGGTGGGAGATGTTGTCCAACAGAAATAACAGCTTAGCCACCATTCTTCTGTCACTCAGCACCTCCACTGGGTCCAGAGAGCATCCTAGAACAGAGCTGGCCCTCCGGCTCACCCTGTTCAGTCTCTTCCTGTCCCCAGCAGAGATGCTGCTGCCCCAGCAGACCACACCGTAAAAGATGGCTGAGGCCACCACAGAGTCATAAAAGGTCTTCAGGAGTGGGCCCTTCACTCCAAAAGACCTGAGCCTCCGCAGCAGGTACAGCCTGCTCTGCCCTTTCTTGTAGAAGGCATCTGAATTATGAGTCTGGCCAGTTTATTGTTCAACACCAAGGTACCTGTAGCTACCCACAGCCTCAATGTCCATACCTTGAATGTTGTTTAGTGGTTGCAGTGGAGGATGTTTGTGCCTGCAGAAGTCTAACACCAGCTCCTTGGTTTTTCTAGTGTTGATCTGGAGGTAGTTCTGCTGGCACCAGTCCACAGAGTCTTGGGTCAGTTCTCTGTACTCCCTGTCGTCCCCATCAGTGATGAGGCCGACTACTGCAGAGTCATCAGAGAACTTCTGAAGGAAGCACTGGGTGGAGTTGTGGGAGAAGTCTGCAGTGTAGATGGTGAAGAGTAACAGAGCCAAAAACATTCCCTGTGGGGCCCCTGTACTGGAGGCGACCCTGTGTGACACACAGCTCTGAGTTCTCATGTACTGTGGTCGGTCGGTGAGGTAGACCCAGTATCCATGACATGAGGTGATGGTCCACTACTGTGTTCTCCAGCTCTCCTTCAGAACTGTGGGAAGAAGGGTGTTGAAAGCACTGGAGAAATCAAAGAACATGATTCTCACAATGCTCCCAGCAGTCTCCAGCTGAGAGACGGAATGATGTGGAAGGTGAGTGACAGCATCATCCACTCCAATGCCAGGTTGGTAGGCAAACTGAAGTGGGTCCAGTGATGAGCTCACCAGAGGCCGAAGCTGAGCTAGGACCAGCCGCTCCAGGGTCTGCATCAGGTGGGATGTCAGAGCCTTCGGACGTAGAGTCTTTGGCACTGGTACAACACAGAAGGGTTTTCCAGAGCTGTGGAACTCTCCCCAGCCTCAGGTTTAGGTTGAAGATGTGCTCCATCACCCCACACAGTTGGTCTGTTTCTCCCTAACGTTTAGCAGTTAGCAGCACAACCACAGTTTAAAATTTTAACAAGAAATAGCTTTGATCTATTAAAAGTAATAGAAAAAAAATTCAACCACAGTGATTCTAAGATATTCAAAGTGGGATTTTGTATATATAGTTTTTGGCAAAGGTTTTATTATTAAGCAGGACTTGGATTTTTTATTGTTATTATTATTATTATTATTATTATTATTATTATTATTATTATTATTATTAATAATAATAATAATAATAATAATAACTACAACAATAATAATAATGTTGTTGTTGTTGTTAGTGGTAGCAGTAGAGGTTGAGATTTTGGTAGCAGCATTAAAATCATTATTACAGAAGCATTGTTACTATAAAATAGTAAAGACTAAAAATTCGCTTTTTTTCCTCATTTGTTTTTAGCTACGGCACTTTTGTCCCTTCACGGTACTCGTAGCCTGCTCTAGCGATGGGATTTCCGGCTCTTTTTAGAGACCCGGATCTTTCGGTTCGACTCACTAAAAAGAGCCGGCTCTTTCGGCTCCGAACCGACTCTTCAAGTTGTTTTGTTGCTTTAATTTATTATTAACAATAATATAAAATTATGCACAAAAGGAATTACTAATGTAATAAAAAGTGGTTTTATTTATATATGTTTATAT